TTAACTTCGGAGTTCTCATGGAACCCGAAGCCAGTGAGCTCCCAAAAGGCCTCGTGCTAGGTAGGGATGGGAATATACATTTAAGGATCACTCTCCTGGGCGATGTGGGATATCACATGCTATACATTGTCTCTGCAGAATAGCTAGTTATACGTATATCTGCCAACCACTTGAATTCCAGTCATCCTTGCTTCGATTCAAAGCAGCTGCAGAGCTATACTTCAACGATTTCGCGTGCAGATCTTTTCTGAACTGATGAATGGAAAGATTCAGTTGTACCATGCTCGCCAAACATTAATTTCGATGACACTTTTCATGGCTTTGCTTTCAATGGAGTGTTGTATTGGTCGACTAGTTCCGGCTTTCTTATCGGGTTGGATCTGTTTAACAACAACGCTGGTACTACTGCTACTAGTACTATAGGTACTGTTGTTGAGGACGACAAGCATTGTCATTTTCTTAAACTTGATTCCTTTAGCAGGAAAGGACCATAAATTCAACGAGCGCATTAGCGTATCCCATGTTTCCTCTAGGTAAACTCGCTTCAGAAGATAAATTGGTTAGTGACGTACTACGCAGATGGAGCTTGTACGAGATTAAGCTGCTAGCTCTCGGCCCGAATAATGCAGATATCATCTACCTAACTGTGAAGGGATACAATATCATCATGTACTGCAACATTCGTACAAGAGCGGTAAAGATAACTAATACTACAAGTTCAACTGGTGCTGTTATTAACTGTAGGAGTGTAAAAACCTGCCCATTTACGCTCCCATGGCAGCCCACAGCCATACCTTAACTAGTGGTAGAGTAGGTACATATCGACTGGCCGGACCACAATTTTCTTTTAGTTTCTCCTTTTCTGCTTATGAATGATTTATTTTATTTGATTTGTTCTTCAAATTGATCAGCTGAATTGACATTTGATTTTGAGGATTATGATGGCACTTGATTTGATTAAAACCCTAATTTTCACTCAAGAAATATTCATCAAGATCAAGATGGAAGAGAGTATTTTTACTTACCGTCACATTAATGTCGTTAAATCAATTTAAATTTGAAGACTATGTAGCAATCCAACTGTAACTAGTGCTTATTGTCAATTTAAGGCATCAATCAAAAATGCTCTGGCCCATGACCTGACTCAAGACCAATTGTTCGTCTTGACATTGTAAAGAAGAAACAAATAGAGTAAATTGGAAAAAACAATACTATTACTATGTCACTTGAGTTTTCTTCTTCTTCTTCTTTTTTTTTTTTTTTTTTTTTTTTTTTTTTTTTTTTTTTAAAAAAAAAATTGTAATGCTATGAATTTCACATGTAAGGAAAAGCAAAACAATCGTCATACCAAACTAGACGGTCAGTTCTGCATAGTCAATATCCGGTTTTTATCAACATCAAGATTGGGTGCATGGTAATGGTGAGATTTTTCAGTGTGTCAGAAACAAGGCACATACGACAAATGTCATTATACAAGTAGAGGGATACTTTAAAAAAATAAAAAATAATAAAAAATAAAAAGAAAAAAGCCTTCTTCCACTAATATAATGATATTTGATGTACCATCTCTGTTCGTGATGCGTTAAAAAATCTCTCATGATATTGGTATGATAAACTGAAACTCGTTAACATGTAGAATCAATGACTCATTCTAATGGGGAAGGGTTAAAATGCACTTCAGCAGACGACCAATAATATACGATTGTACCATGGACACTAAGCCCATGACATTTCCGTTATTAGTTTGGGCCCGATCCAAGAGGAGTTTGAGTTCATGCGGCCCAAAACCTTCCGATAATCCTTTGAAAAGTTTAGATGAAACGTAGTCCAAGTCTTAGTAGCATTATCCGGCAACGGCGGAGTTTGGCGCCTTTCCTCCCCCAAGAAACCACCGAGAGCAATGGCGTTGAAGCGAGCAATTCCGGCAGCAACAAGCCCAACCTTCCTCGCAAACCCCCAAGTTCCCACCTTTTTCCCATCCACCAACCACTTGGCCTTCGCACGGCGCCGTTTCAATCTCAAATGCTCGATGGAGTACAGTAGAGACCAGTACAACGGCAACGGGAGCAGCATTCAGGTGCCGATAGCGTACTCTAGACCGGCGGAGGTTCAGTGGAAGAAGGAGCTGTGCAATACGGTGCACCTCATCGGCGTCGTCGGTCTTCCCGTCGAAATTAAGCACCTCCCCTCCGGAAAGGTCCTCGCTTGGACCCGCCTCGCCGTTAAGAAGTCCGCCACCGACACCTCTTGGTAATAATTCTTAAATTTATCTATTTTTCGGGTTTATTCATATTTTACAGTTGATGGTATCCTTTCAAGATTTTAAATTTTGATGATTGATGCTTAGTTGTTTCACTCTGATGCTTTCAATTAGTGTGGTTTTGCTCTGATTTAATCATATTTTTTGTTAGAGACAATGGAAACGTTAAATAGTTATTTCCCATCACAAAGTTCTTCGCAAATTATGCACAAATAGAACTAGTTACAAAGTTTTAAACAAACACAAAACTTGGTAGACACTAAACAGATAATGAATCGTATATAAACCCCAGTTTTGGGGTGCCGTTATTGTTTGTAAAGTTTTTAACTGTTTCTAATTGCGTATATTTTTTGTTAGAGACAATGTGAAACGTTAAATAGTTGTTTTGCATCACAAAGTTCTTTGCAAAATATGCACAAATAGAACTGGTTACAAAGTTTTAAACAAAAACAAAACTTGGTAGACACTAAACAGACAATGAATCGTATATAAACCCCAGTTTTGGGGTGCCGTTATTGTTTGTAAAGTTTTTAACCGTTTCTAATTTCGCATATTTTTTGTTAGAGACAATGTGAAACGTTAAATAGTTGTTTTGCATCACAAAGTTCTTCGCAAAATATGCACAAATAGAACTGGTTACAAAGTTTTAAACAAAAACAAAACTTGGTAGACACTAAACAGACAATGAATCATATATAAACCCCAGTTTTGGGGGCCTTTATTGTTTGTAAAGTTTTTAACCGTTTCTAATTGCGCATATTTTCGAAGATTTTCAGGTAATCCAACTTTAGTAAAATTGTAAACGTTACTGTGGGTATAAGGACTGTAGGAGACATTTAAATATGAAAATTGGGTTTCTTTTTCTTTCAGGATTAATCTGACATTTTGGGATGAGCTAGCACATGTTGCTTTTCAGCATGTAGAGAAAGGCCAACAAATATATGTAACGGGCCGTCTGATATCAGATTCTGTTGAAACCGATGAAGGGAAGCAGCAGACCTACTATAAGGTTTTTTGGCTTCTCGTCTTTCTAGTTGTAGTGAAGTCTACTGTTTGTTTGTTTAGAAAATGAATTTGTCCCTAAATCTCATGCAGGTAGTTGTTCAGCAACTGAATTTTGTTGAAAAGGGCTTTTCATCGCCGGCTTTGAAAGATCACGACTCTGATTCATTTACAGCAGGCAAGTCGTACCTTCAGTAACGTGAGTTTTGATTAGAGCAGGGATAGCATTCGTTCTTATTACTGTTATTCTTTTCTTCCAGGTAGAAATCTTGGCAACAATGCTACAAAGAACATAACGGAAACCACACAAGAATTATGGCAAGCCTTCTTTGCTAATCCAGTTGAATGGTGGGATAATAGGAAGACCAAGGTACTTTATTCAATCACAATATAAGTCTGACAAGATGCATTCTTTCATTCTTGAGCGTAGGTGTGCATCCTATGCAAGGCCGGCCCTGATAAGTAGTTCCAATTGACAGTAGTTAAAAAAATACTTTCATATGTTTACTTATACATGTAAACAACGGTGATTCCCTTCGTTGTTTGTCTCTATGGGCTTTCCTTTTGTTTGGTTAATAAAAATGAACTTCAATAGGGATAAAGGAGCCAAAGAACGAACATTACAAAAGCTTGGAAACATAAAAAGTGATTCCTCTTATGCATATGTAGGCCCTAGAAAATAGCCTTGATTTGAGGTCCTATATAAACGATTTTGGTAGATATATGATTATAGAGTATCTGAATTTTTGGGGGCCCTAAACAGGTGCAAGCACCGGTTGCAGCTGTCCAGGGCTGGCCCTGATCCTCTGTGCATGCACAAATGCAAAATCGCTGCTGGTGCTGCAATGATGAGAAGAAACTGTGTTTTTTTATTTGGCCCTACATTAAATGCATGAAGATTTTTCCCCACCTAAAATATCAAACCAAATTTTGAAATTACAGTGCCTAAGAACTAGCATTATACTACAAAATAGAAAGAAAACTATAATGGATGAGATGTGATGATATGTTATACACTGTCTCTAGACATGTCGAGAATCAATGTTGAAATAGAAATGGTTGAATGGAATTTTTAGATTTTTTATTCATGCTTGGTGAATGCCGTATGTGCACCTGTAAAATTTTCATTTCATGTCATCTGCTGTTTGTTCAGATTTCCGATAAGAATATGTGAACAAACTCACGCATGTTTATTCGGTTTTGTTTTATGATTTTCAGAGGAACCCAAAATATCCCGATTTTAAGCATAAAGATACTGGAGAAGCCTTGTGGATTGAAGGCCGGAACAATCCGCCGTGGGTGAAGTCCCAACTTGCTATTCTGGATACAAGAATGGGGACCCTTACTGACCAAGATCATAACATGCATACAAATATATTTGCCGGTGATAGTTTTTCGCCTTTCTAAGTGATTGCGGTGCTAGCTGTAGGAAACCAGAGTTCAAGGACTAATTTGTGTATCGTCCATCAATTTTTGGTGGAGATACTGAACAATTCGGCTTTGTTTCTATAGTTTGTATCCTAGGTTTGCAATTTATATGATATGCTGGTGATTTGTTTGCTCTTCATTCTTCTGGAACTTGGCAATAACATTACAATTTCGATTTTTGGCTTCGGACATCATACGAGTTTAATTACAGGAACACCAGAAAGCATCGATCTAACGATAACGATGGAAGAACGGTACAGTAGAGCTCAAACAATTAATGAAAATTGCCATTAACGAAAAGTCTGAAAAGTGGAGCTCAAACAATTATATATATATATATATATAAAATATTATTAGGACAAATGGAACATTTCACCGTCTCTGTACAATTTGGATCTCAGCTAAGTTTCTTGTTCCAGTACCTTAATTGTTCTTTAAGCAAACATCGAAAAAATGAAAATGTATTCTCTGAGCTACATGTATCTGTGTATTTTCCTGTAGTTTTAAGGAGTTTTAAGTGTCTCCTTAATGTATATATTCATCCGTCTTACTGCATGCCTTCAGAAACAAGTACTCAATCCTCTGGCTTCAGATCCCTTCATGATTCTCAGCCGTTTGCAGGAAGAAACAAACATACTGCAACCAAAACATAAGAAGAGTCATTAGATGCGAGTTTTTTCAGAGATCGAACGGATTATCTGAATACCGATAAGAAATAGAGATTTAATCGAAAATAGTGAACTTACTTCCATGGCACATCTCCAACAAGCATCCAGTCACCGTCTTTGTCTTCATAAGTCGGAGCAAAATCGGATCCATTAATATTGGCTAGGTTGAACATCTTCTCTAAGGCCTTGATGAGTTCCGGGTAGCTATTGTAAACCTTGAGATCAATCTTCCTCAGATAAGGAGCTCCGTCGACACTTACTTTCACGTACGCCTCTCGCAGTTGCAAACTGTTTTTCCTGTAAGATCTGATTGGAGGCCACCCTACTACCTGTGTCCTGCACACATTTATTCAATCATAAATTAGCAACATAACCAGTTAACCAAACCTTCATAATCATTTATTAACATAAAACTCATAGTCCATATATGAACATTGCTTACTTGGTGGGAGGGGCATCTATGAGATTAGTACTTGTACTGCACTCCTCAGCCGCTGAATCCGGCGAAGCCCTCTTGTTATTCTTGGCTATAGGAGGAGACGTTGCTGCTTTTTTGTTCTCATGCTCTTCAGAGCTTCCAGGCAACCCTAATCTTAGCTCAGTTGCCTTGAAATTTAGCTGGTCTTCCATCTTAATCACTTTGCTAAATAAACCCTGATGCTTTTGCAGATTGCAGACTGATTTGCAGAAGGATAATAGATAAACAGAAAGGTGTGTTTAGGGTTTGTTGTGAGAGATTTTGAACGTTTCAGTCAGGTGGAGTTGAAGTACGATTTGTTTTCCTTGAGGTGGAAGATGTGATGGCATTCAAAACTTTTATAGGATGTGTTGTGTGAATATTGTGAGACAGATAATATAAAATCTTAGGTGATTTTTATCCTTTCATGGTGCATGGCAGCATGAGATTCACTCATTATTTGATAAATGGTAATATCACATGCTTGTCCCCCACGCGTTAGTTCAGTGACCAACCACCACAGGTGGACAATTGGACATACCGGAATTTCAAAGCGGGGCCTACGCGCTCTACCGTCGATTACTTGATTTGTAATATTGCTATACAAACCACTTTCGTAAATAACATTCCAAACCACATCTCTAAAAAAAGTGAAATTTGAAGAACAGATTTTGCTCCCTCTCCACTCTTCTTTTTATTTCAGTTATTGGATTGAATAAATAAATTAAAAGAGTCGAAAAATATAAACAAGAGAATAAGTGATGAAGAAGAAAACGTGAGTGACTACTACACAGTTTGTTCATATGAGTTATTTTTAAAACTAATGTTTGATAAACTTGTTTATACGTAAATATTTGACTATAAATTGTTAATGCATTTGAGATCTAACACATGTCTGCTATAAGTTTCTCCCTTCGCGTAAATGACCTAAACATATCTCCTCATTTTATTATAATTTCGATATGCAAAATCATTTCTTTTATTGATTGGTTGTGGGTGGTGTGATTGAGTTCTTGATTTAGGTTAGACAAGTGAAGATATGGATGCTACTCACATGAGGAACACCGTGCAGTTTGGTGCCCGATTTAAGGGGACAAAGTAGGGACAACCATTGCCGATGCTATTGAAGACCGTGGACCAATAATGGACGGCTGTGATCGGCAGTTAGGGTAGGCTTTGGAACTGTTCATACAGCGCCCTTGGATCAGGAGGATGGAGCGGAAGAAAACAGCCCATGTGACTACCATACGGTCCCACGTGACTGTTGTGCATTGGGTAGGCATGGCCATGTGGGCTGAGATAAGTGGGACCGGAGATTTAATTGGCTGTGTTACATGACATGTGGGATTCCATGTGGTATGGTCAGCTTACCTTTCCCGTTCACTCTTTGCCTTACCCCACTAAACACAAGTGTTATATTACGTGTTATTATATAAGTAGTGAAAATTTTTTATATTTTAATTTATTAGTATTTTAACATAAGTATTTCACCATTTGTATAATGAAACATGATGTAACACCCAGCATTCTAAGCACAATGAAAAATTTCTCCTAATCCAACGTATTTCTGATGGTTGATTGTCATAAACTAATACATCAATATAATACAATATTAGGGGGTATACTCAATTGAGGTTTTGAAGGTTTTAAAAGAGTCATGAGTCCTTGAAGTTTGATGGAGTTCTATTGGAGTTTCATAGACTTCATGTGAATTCATTTAAAATTTTAGGGAGAGAGACCTGATTTCCTAAAACTTATAATACACTGTAAAATTATTCTAAAGCCATCAAAATCCTTAATTTTTCAAAATACTTTTAAATCAATTCCTAATTGAATACACATAGAGTTTTATGGACAATTTTAAAATTCTGATTGAATATATCCAGTTTCTTTGCAGTTTTATGAACTTCTTTAGAATTTTGATTCAATACCCATGGACTTCCATGGATTTATTTAAAATCTTTGACTGAATACTTAAATTTGTAAACTCTTTTAAAATATTTTAAACTCCTAATCGAATACGACGGTGTAAACACATCATTGTTTTTTTAATTCACAATATAATACATTACAAACACATGGTTAACTTTTCTAACGAAATATATATCAATTTTTTATTGGAACGATTTGTTAAGTAATCTAATCTAAGATGAAGGAAATTTGAGCTCAAATAAAGAAGTTATAACACTTTAAACAATATAGCTATGTTTTCTTTGCTTGACACAAAATTTAGCTCTGTTCAAGTCCACAAACAAAAGTATATTTTATCCTTACACTATAATAACATCTCTATACCTTTAGGAAATAAATGAGATGTGATGCCAATATGCATGGGTGTGAATTTTGAACACTTCTCTAATCATCCAATTTGAGCGTTTTTAAGAAGACGAAAATATAATATAAGATGATGAAAATGACCACATTCGTGCATATAATTATTCGCACAGTTCCAAGAACTAGACCTAATTCATGATTCTAATTAATTTTATGACAAACATGTATTAGAAAGTAGAACTTTGTCTTGTGTCTGAAGCAACAAATTTTACATGGATATTTGATTTGCGAAGTTGTTTAATTTTAACTTCATCATCTTTTTCCCATACCTAGCTACTTCCCAATGTTGAATCTATTGCATATATCAGTTTTTTTAGGGGTTGCACAATGACTGATATATAGATGTATAGAGGGGTAATATTAGGAAGACTAAATTAAATGACATGAAGGTTGATGATTCGATTATTACTTAAATGTTGATTAACATGTTTATTTTTTTATTGGTGACTCATCATTTAGTTTGCAAATTTAGTCTACCTAGCATTGATCTAAAAAAAGAGTTAGGATTTTGGGATTCACGCTTTTGACACACATTTTGAAATTCATTTTTAGGGCCTATTTTGTAATGTATTTCAACGATACAAACAGTCTATATTTTAGTACATCATTCATAAATCATCATTGCAAACAATTAGCAAATCCAAAACCACTAAAATATTTCTTTGTGGTGAAGAAAATGGATGAATAAGATTCTACAAATAAACACTAAACTTAATCCATCAGTCATATTGTAACATCTCACATCGCCAAGGGGAGTGGATCATGTAAGCCTTATATGTATATTTTCATCTCTACCTAGCACGAGGCCTTTTGGGAGCTCACTGGCTTCGGGTTCCATTGGAACTCCGAATTTAAGCAAGAAAGGGGCCAGAGCATTCTCAGGATGGGTGACCCACTGAAAAGTTCTGCTCACGTGAGTTCCCAGAAACAAAACCGTGAGGGCATGGCCGGGGCCCAAAGAGGACAATATCATGCTACAATGGAGTTGAGCCCGGGATGTGGTGGGGGCCCGGGACGGGATGTGACAATTTGGTATCAGAGCCAATCCCTGGCCAGAAGTGTGCCGACGAGGACGTCAGGCCCCTAAGGGGGGTGAATTGTAACATCCCACATTGCCCATGGGAGTGGATCATGTAAGCCTTATATGTATATTTTCATCTCTACCTAACACGAGGCATTTTGGGAGCTCACTGGCTTTGGGTTCCATTGGAACTCCGAAGTTAAGCGAGTTCGCGCGGGAGCAATCCTAGGATGGGTGACCCACCGGGAAGTTCTGGTGTGAGTTTCCAAAAAAAAAAAACAAAATCGTGAAGGTGTGGTAGGGGCACAAAGCGGACAATATCGTGCTACGGTAGAGGCATGGCCTGGGATGTGGTGGGGGCCCGGGCCGGGATGTGACACATATGGTTTCGGATTTGGGTATTTTTGGTAAATATGATCTTGAGATAAGAAATAAAAGAAAGATGGTTAGTTGTTGAAATACATTACGAAGTGGGCCTCACAAAAATGTGTGTCAAAAACAAATGTCCCGTATCCAATAAATATATACATACATACATATACATATACATATACTACTATACAGACCCTTTATGCAAAAGGATTCCCATTTTTTCAAAAAATGGGGATTAGGTGTGGGGCCTACTTCACATCGAACGATCCGAACTGTCTATTTTGTAAGTCTCGTTTCATAGATCATCCTTACAAAAATTCAATTCAATCTAAAACCATTTGCCTATTTAATTATCAAGATAAATTTTCATTATTTCTTATATAACAAAGTATTCGTTAATTTCTTTGAACTCAATTAGATGACTTAAACATTTCTGATTTAGCTAATACTTTGCAAGGATGATCTATGAGGTGCAACTTGAAAAATAGACGGTTCGGATCGTTAAAGTTTGATGTGGTGTGGACTCCACAACTAATCCCCATTTAAAAAAAATTAAAAAATTAAAAAAATTAAAAAAAAAAGGAATCCCTTCCCTTAAGGGTTTCCTACTACTATAATTACCATTCCACCAAAAGGTTTTACATATTCGAGTTTTTCTCCATCAATTTTTGGCTAAAGACCATGCATGCTTTATCAAGGATTCACAAAATAAGCAATTTAAAAAAATAAATAAATAGGAGAAGAAGAAGTTGAAGAACGGCCACCGACACGACCTAGCTAGCTGGTTCGAAGCAACTTCTGGAGTCGGACAGCCAAATTCTGAGTTTTCGACAGGGATATGTACATGCACACATCAAGGAAGAACTCAGAACTGATAAGCATGCAAAAAGGAGGAGCAAATGACAAAGAAAAGTGTCACGATTAAGCCATTCAATGTTGAAAACTCTTTTGTGTCAACCAGCTAGCTAGGGTTAGCTAAATTTAGTACGGTAAGAAATATACAACGAGTTAGTAGTTCAAATATTTAAAAGCATTTGTTTTCACACTCGGAGTCTTGAATCAGTTCCCGCTCGACAAGGACTGCAGACAAGATGAGTTGATGATCCGGTCTACCACCTTCAATCTTTATCATCTTCTAAATAGATTGGGCCAGGGACTCTCAGAGCATTGATTTCTTCGCGTCTGCCTCTGCCCCTGCCTTCGCTACTTCCCTCTTATCATGTCCATGCATTTTGGCCATCGTACTTAATGATGGATGAGATAGGGCAAATTGGAAGACCAATGTACGGACACACGTGTGACATGATAAGATTGATCGATGTCGATATCATGTGGGCCTTAATCCACACGTGGGTGTAATGCAATGCAAAAGTTTGAAGTTTTTGGAGTTTTTGGAGTTTTAGGGTTTTGAAGAAGCTAAGAAGGCCCATTACCAGAAGAGCTTGTCCCTTTTTTCGAAGGAAGAGCGTCCCAGTTTTTGAAGGAAGAGTGGTCCTAAATATGTATACTGGTTCTTGCCCATCATGCATGCCGCCATAACATGCCATGCATACCCATATTTCATGTCGCGTCTCTTCGTGAAGCTTTTCACACTCATACATTGTACGTACAGACTGTCTGTGTGTGTGTGTGTGTGTGTATCATCATCATCACTCAATTATGAACTATATACTGGCAACAGTTGCCCAGTCTTGGGTCATGTGGTTGTCAGTTGGTGATGTTTCGTAAGACTACTTACTTGTATCAGCGGCTAACGGTTATTCATAAATGTAAGAACAACTTTATGTAATATCACAAATTATATATACATACCTATTCCATTAGGTAGGTTTAGCAAGGATCGACTATGAGCAAGAAGAATAACTTACAAGAAACTAGTTAGTGAAGAAAGTTGTGGTTTCACCATAAAACCAATTGGCAATATCGGGAGTAGCTTAACCTCCTGTAAGCCCTTGCAAAGTTTCTCCTTTCACCTATGTGGCACTCTTTTACATTCACAGCCTCACAATTAGTACATTGCTTTCGTGGTGTTCAGTGCCGATCATATAATGTTATGTGGAGAGGAGTTAACACTTATCATTTCATAGTTGACATGAAACAACAGTATACCCGTGCCATATAAATCTTTATTCAAAGCAAGGGAAAGAAGTGAGACCACCCCCGACCTGCATCAGGAAGGCACCAACTAGTTACACAACGTTAATGCCAATGGAGTCATAATGCAATGCGTTCACACTGTAGCTTGTACTTTACTTTAGATATGAATTGTGGCACCTTATAAATAAATATTTCTATAATACAAAAGGGTCTAGTTACAATGCATGTACGCATATATATGTTGCCAAATGAACAAGCTAGTACCACAGAAATATTCATGTCATGTTAAACCATTGATTTGATAATCTTTTATATAGAGTTATATTAAGAAACAGAAAACTGCTAATCGGTGGATCTATCATATATGTGCCATATAGTATATAGCATATATATGTTGCATGCATGAGCTACAGCAAGCAGAAGCTGCTATATATATATATATATATATATATATATATATATATATATATATATATATATATTAAGGGAATAAAAAGATTCCATACATAGAGAATTGGAGAACAAAATATTGTTGGTTACATTGTGTTTGACTGACCGGCCCCTTCTGTGCTTCAAACCCTAATCCCGAACGATTTGACTTTAATCTCTTTTTAACATGCATGATTCTTACAGAACACCGTCCAATGAATAATTAATCTAGTTGTGGTGAAAGGAGGAAGGGAATAAACTATATATATATATGATTTTAATCATTAAATAATTATTGTTTACGTACCAACAAAAATTAAAATTATTAACAAGAGAATGTGATGATCGAATTACAATGATTACTGATCATGATCAAGCACTTTGGCAGATGGGTGTTGCATTATAACTTTTCTTGTTAATTATATGGTACATTGGCATATGATGCCGTGATACAACCATATATAAATCAAAGTCTCAAAATTTTTATACAAGAAGGATATATCTCATGAATTATATTATTTATGACTTTATTATTATTTACATATGATGAGACGTTTCTCTTTTATTATAAATTACAATTTGATACGTATGCAGAATTAATTTATTAAAATAACTAGAAAGAAAAGTCATGAATGTATGTGAGGGTTCGACAAGTTCGCTAGTGAACGACAGTGTGCTAGCCCGCTCCATTACACTCGAATATAAATCTTTCTCCCCTTATATATGATAAAGTAACTTAAAGTATTGCTTTGTAAAGAATATACAAATGATATTGATACGGATATGTCAAACTATAATTTGTCTCAACGAAAAATTATTCATTAAATGTAAACAGCGGAATATTTTTTTTGTTATATGATATCGTATATGTAACACTATCTTGACTGGATATCAGAAGATCTATCTGACCTCTAAGCATCTTGCTTGATGAGTCTGTGAGCAAGAGTTGAAAATTATGAAGGTTCTTCTCTTCGACTTTTTTGGTACATCGAGTCAATTGGTCAACGGGTCAGTTTTGGTCATGACATTATAATTTATAGAGTGAAATAAAAAATAAATAAAAATAAAAAAGGGAAGAATAAGAAGAATAATCAAATGAAGAAGGAAATGTGAAGGTGGATCAGTGGGATGCCCTGCAGCGCCGCACATGGGATCGGGTTTGACGCTTAGGGTGACAGACCCAACAACTTCACATGCTCCCTTCTGTGGGCCCAAATCCAAAATCAATTGTACGACCCACCCAATGGCAATGAATCTCACTCGCTGCATGCCTAATGGGTCCCACTTCTTTCTCAACTCAACCAACCACCCAACTAAAAACAAGAGTTTTTAAATGTTTTAGTCAAAATGCAATTGATTCATCATTTGTATCTAAAATTGAATCAATCTTTTCGTAATTTAGATTCATTTAATGTAATTATCTTATTGTTTGTAAAAAATTATTTATCTATTTTGTACAAACAAAATTCACACTCTCATATAACCCTAGAGTAGGATCGCAACTTAGATAGAATCAGTGTTCCATCACATGTAGAGTGGAACTTACACTAGGTGTTGTATGCTTGGACAAAGATGTCATGTTGGCCGTGAACATATCTCATGTAAGTCATTATTCTCTAGAAAATTTAGTTTGAACAATATGCGGTTATAAAGTGTATCAATTTTGTGTAGCTCTTTTTTTTTCTTTTTTTTTTTTCTTAAAAGAGGATCAACAGGTGACTTCGTCACAACAGCCCACCCTTCCGAAAGCCAAGAAGATAGCTAATTTTTATCTATTAGTGTCTCTACAAAACATTGGTTAATTACTAGCTACAAATCATTTAGAGGACCAAACGATTACCAACTCCCCATATTAATGTGGTTAGCCTATATATGGTGTCCCGGTTATGATGTCCGTGCAGCTAAATTGGTATGGAAGTATTGCATCTTTGCGAGAAATGGTTCTTAATTTATTTGTGCACTTGCAGGGGTCGCTCATCACACATTTTTTACAAACAAATTAGGAGAATGCTAACGTCAGTTACAATACACGCGTGATTGGTTCGTGATTATTGATTTTCGATTGTTTGTGCGTAAGTAAACGACTCGCTGTAACAAGCTTGTAGAGGAATTATGATTTGACAAGCCATTTGTGCAACAAAAATGAAATTGAATTCGTGGCCACCAAAGGGTGCATATATATAGCATCAGACAGATGATGAACACCACACGTACTGTGAGCATGCCCTAACAACGACGAACAGTTGAGAGTGCCTGTCATATTATTGCACCACCTTCTGCTTTTTTCTTCCAACAATTTCTTTTGGTGAAGCGATAAAAGGGTACAACCCAACATTTACTTTTTGCATGTTTCACTAACATTGTATGGTGGATGTATATAAAACACCAAAGCATGGTGGTACATATATACACATTATGGCGAAGTGACGTTTTTACACTCTTTTTTCTTTGTACACAATGACCGTAAAATTGCATAAATCAAAATATAATCAACATACAAAGGTAAACAAAGTCGGAAATCATTTCCATTTGAAGTTTTAACCGCTTCACCAGTAATATTTTTGAATATTCTTAAGACGCACATACTGATTGTCAACTTTAAGGGTTTTGAGCAATAAATTAAGCATGAATGAGTAGATGTCTACTTCTAAATAATTCTTCACATTAAGTTTGATAAGTCCTTCTAGCCAGAATTTTAGAATAATTTCATTGATTGATTGTTCCAATAAGGGACCGCGAAAGAAGGATATTAATTAATTTTAGGATTACAAATTAGAGGTTATAACATATATCCCTTGTTAGCCATCAACATAGAGATCAAGTTGTCACTTATCAATTCTTATGAATTTGGTGATGTTTAAACGATTGCCAGCCATATGTATGTAACGAGTCTAATAACACAAAAAGAAATTAAAACCAACCGACCGTATAGCTTTTCCGGCATATATATCTTATAAATATCATGGTTGAAGAGGAAAAAAGATTGAAAGAAGAAAGAGTTAGAAGTCAAGAAAGAAGATAATCAGTAAAGTAATTAGAGCAAACTAACATATGCATGGACGATCTAATAGTAAAGAATAATTGTGAGACGATCTATAAATTGAAGTGTACTAATTAAGTTGAACTTTGATAGGTACAAGTGTAAGATTTACTTGACCAAAACATGCATGTGTCGAATCTAATAAGAGAACAAGTAGTGAATTTTCTTTACTTAAAAACTTATAAGGAGAGTACAATCTTCTCAAACGAAAATTGTTAAAATGAAATTGAAAAAGGATAAAGCGAGTACTCAAAATTTGGGCTAAAAGGGCGTTTGGGATTAGAGAATTTGTTGTCTGTGTACTTTCTTCCCCAGAGTTGGCCCTAAAAAGTGGGAATAAAGAACCCTAGCTAGTTAGTAATACACATAGCTAGCTGGCTGGCTGGCTCTCCCCCTCTCCCAACAAAGTGGAAAAGAAGATCAATTGGTAAGTGGGTTAATTTCTTGAGCTCTGAAACTTATTGATCCAATGCTTGCACTTGCAGTGGTCCTGTATATCTAAATAATTTATAACCAAAATCTTGACTTATCAGCCCCTTTTACGTAGCTCATTGCTTATGCCTCATATCATCACCAGCTTTCTCTCACTAAGTTAGTAACTTTATGTCTCGTTAAACACAATTACGTTGTATAATTAGTCTATTACGTGAATATTGAATAACTAGTAATATAGTAACAATGTACATATCGCTGTCCGCAGTGGAGATTCCACGATCCACCATCCACCCACACAACAATTGTAGGATAGATAACATCAACAGTGGTGTCGTCACGTAGCCCAGCAGGGTTGTAAAAGCCAGCTCATGCAGTATGCCACGTGTCAAGAACCCATTTCCGGGTATACAGTGCACCCATTCGCATATTAATATCGACGCCAGCCCAAGCAGTCCCCTCCTTCCTAATCGTTCCCCACACTATTATTTTTTCCAAAAAGATCAAACATCAAACATCAACGCAAAGAAACACCAAAAGCCAAGCTAGCTAGCAATATTACAGAAAGAAAGAAAGAAAGAGTTTAGAGAGAGAGAGAGAGAGAGAGAGAGAGTGAGAGAGAAGTTAATCATCAGATGGGGTTCGAAGAGACAGAGCTGAGGCTAGGGTTGCCGGGTGGTGGTGGCGGCGGCGTCCGTGATGGAGATCAGGTGATCGTGATGAGGAAGAGAGGGTTTTCTGAAACTGAGAGTGATATTAGTACTGATACTAGTACTTGTGTGGATTTGAAGCTTAATCTTTCTAGTAATTCTAAGGAGGCAAATAGTACTGGTGGGAAAGATGGCAGTGCTGAAAAGTCCAAGACCAACAAGGAGAAGAACAACAACCTTGATTTCCCGGCTTCCGATCCAGCAAAGCCTCCTGCTGCCAAGTAAGTTGATAATGATGATAATCACGATCTGATATTTAATGATAATAATGAACATGTGTGTGCTTCCTGTTTTTGCCCTTCAATAATTGATATGATGGCCCTGATTAATAATATATAACTGATGCCATCTAATGTATGTAGTCATTCTCCTGAGTCCTGACTCAGGACTTTTTTAGCTAGCCATGTATATCTCTAGTCAATTTAAATGGTTATTACAAGAATTAATCCAATTAATTTTTGCTCCATGCATCTCATAGATTTCTACTTTTGAAATATTAAGATTTTCTTCTCTGCGAGTTCTTCTAGTTTTGGATACATGCATGGCTGTTTCCTTTCCTCAGGGATTTTTTTTCATCATAAAAATGAAAGAAAGAATGAATAAAAACTGAGATTGATCAATTTGATTACTTAATTCATATGTATTGTGTGTAAACAAATTACTTAATAACTGGACTTAAATTTGTTGACTCTATTGGATGACTTGGCTTCCAGATCTTCCTCTTTTAAGGAGAATATATAATTTGAAATGAAATTAAGAAATTATATATTGCAAAAATTAGTTGTTATATATAGAACTTATAGCTAGTTAATTAGTAGCACTAAATTCTGAATATGTATGTATATTTTTTTTTCTTTGATTCAACCGATGCTGGAGAGAAGAGAATTGAACATAAATAGAATTTTATAAAATTTATTACGTACTCTTAGTAACTTGAGCTTACAAATAATCATGTTAAATATAATCGGTTTAACGAAAATAGAAAAGTAATTAGCTATAAACTTGTTGATTGATGGTTTCATTCTCGGATAGGTAGTTTTCCATTTTGTGTTGTTCTGTCCTGCTTAGCGGGCTGCGTTGTATCGCTTTAGCGAGTTGTTTGTGGGCTCGTCCTTGTGATGCCTTTTTTGGCCTCGTTCTTGTGATGACTTTTGTCACCCCGGTGCAAGGTTTGTTACGTTTACCTTCTTTATGGCAGATCTTTACTCGTGGCTAATGGTTCTTGTTGTTGTGTTGTGGTTGCCTAGTAGAGGTTTTCCTTGTATGCCAATTTGTGAAGATTTATCTCCAGATCAAGATGTTTGATCATCGGAGAAATGTACCCATCTAGCACCTCCTTGTAATGCTTGATTGTATGTGTTTGTTATAATCAATGAAATTCTCTATCATTTCTGTCCAAAGAAAAAAAGCAAACTAATGTTACTATTAACTAATAGGGCACAAGTTGTGGGTTGGCCACCGGTGCGATCTTTTCGAAAGAACATGTTCACGGCGGTGCAAAAGAGCACGAATGACGGAGAAAGTGAGCAGATGAACAAGGTCGGCAATAACAATGCAGTTTTGGTGAAGGTTAGCATGGATGGTGCACCATACCTTCGCAAGGTCGACTTGAAGATGTACAAGAGTTACCCTGAGCTCTCTGATGCCCTAGCCAAAATGTTCAGCTCCTTCACCATTGGTAACTACTTTATTTATATTTTGAAAAATGATTTACGCATACTTTGTTAACTTTTGTCTCTCAATTTTTTTGGATTTGATGAATTTAACTGTTAAAAATAAATAAGAGTACGTAAGGAGAAAAAAGGGTGTGCGGAATCACCTCTCTCTTATATTTTTGGAACAAGTTAATGCATTATTTGTCTGTTAAATTTTCAATTATTATGATACTTGGAGCAATGTTATAAAATTTTCAATCATTGAAGGAAATTGTGGATCCGAAGGAATGAAGGACTTCATGAATGAGAGCAAGCTGATGGATGTTCTCAACGGTTCTGATTACATTCCAACATATGAAGACAAGGATGGTGATTGGATGCTGGTTGGCGATGTGCCATGGGAGTAAGAGCATCTCTAATCATACTTTTTATTTTTTCGGTTAATTTTTTACTAAAAAGACTAAAAAGTTATTTAGCTCTCTGATAAAAAAATTTATTTCAATCATACTCTCTAATTTATGGAGTGATGATGATTGTAGACCAATAGGAATAAAGTTTTATTTAAAATATTAGTAACTACTGTTAGGATCTTCTTTCTCGCTCTCTAAATTTAGGAGATTCTACGAGAATTCCTATTGTAGGAGGTGGATAGAAAGTGTGTTTGGAGCTCATTAATTCCAACCCTAGCTAAGATAGTTCAAGAAGTCTTTTGATAAGTATTTTAGTTTTAGTTACAATTTTAAAACGTGAAAAGTTATTTAGTAATTGTTATCATTTTATTTTCTTGAAAACTGAAAAATCAGAAAAATATTTTTATAAATTTTTGAAATTTGGCTCCATTTTAAAATCAGTTGTCATTCTTCTGAAAATTGTAATTGGTTATCAAACAAGTTTTCAGCTTTCTAAAAATTAAAAATTAGAAACAAAAACAAAAACAACATGTTTATCAAGAACCCCCTAAACATTCAACTTCAAGTTTATTTATTTTAGTTAAACATGTTCAATTGTGCAAGCAGAATGTTTGTTGAATCATGCAAGAGATTGCGCATAATGAAGAGCAAGGAGGCTGTTGGACTAGGTTAGTATCTATCTTCGATCATTAATCAACCACCATTCATCACGATTATCACTTTCTTTAATCTACTAGCTTACTAAAACATGTTCAAATATGAATATTTCAGCACCAAGGGCCATGGAGAAATGCAAGAACAGGAGCTGAAGTACTAGTAACGAATGATCATCACAGCCTGCTCCTTTGATCTCGTCGCGGTCACGGAAAATCAAATCGAAAACCACCGGAAACGCGCAGATGGATTGAGCAGGTTGTTCGAATGATTGGATACGTTTGTTTGTAATATTAATGTTATGGTTTGATCATTATATGTGTAATTATATAAAGTGAGATACTTAAAATTTGAGTTTTTATCATGGACAGAACCATTTAAACTCGATCGAACGATCTTTCTTAAGTACGCTCAAGGACGGCTTGGTGTTTGCTTGTTTAGTATTAATAATTGGCTTGCTTAAGCATAATAATGTAATGCATCAGTTAATTATGTGGTTAATTTGTTGTATTTAATTATTTGTGTGTTTTTATTTTAATTCAATAAACTTTCTATTTTTGGTAAATATTCTTCTTAATGTACGTTAAGTTGGTTAGAACATCGAGTCCTTGGAGTCATAAAAAAGTGGGAGTGAAGAATATATTAATTGGGAATGCTTCGAGGACGTGGTTGATAGAGGGAACATGAGCATGTGCATGTTAATTATGGAGGCATTAATATATGCATGACCATTCTTTTTTTCTTTTCTATATTTATTGTCTTAGACCTACTCCAATATCTTGGAGTAAAACTCAAATTTTAGGTTCTAAACTTACTCTATTTTGCTTTAATCCTTAGGACAAATATGAGTTTTAACCCAAAACTCATTTAGACCAACTCCAACAATGGGCTAAAACCTATAATTCCCCCTTTTTTACCCCCCAAAATTCACTCCAACCCATGACCTAAAATTAACCTAAAACCTAAAACCCAAATGAAGGTCAAATACCAGCCCAAGTTTAGGCCACAAATTGGAGTGGACCCCAGCTTCTGTGACTGAAACCTGGGCTGTGAAGCCCAATTGCCCTCTGTCACTTGCTCCACGCGCAGCACGCAAGGCCTTCAACCAGAATTCAACCGAGGTGGACCCCACCCACGTGGGTGTGTCCCCCGGTTTGTCAAGTTTTGTCTGTAGCCAACGGCTACTTTTCTTCATCGGGTGGTGGTGGTAATTGGACCGTTGGTTAATCCAACGGTCCACATTCAAATATTTTTTTTTTTAGTTTTATATTTATATATTTATTGAATCCAACGACTTAGATCAAATATAATCAAATCTAACGGTAAAAAAAAAGATCTAACGGTCCAAATTAAAATCCAACGGCTAAAATAAGTTAAAAATATATTTAAATATTTTCATGTATTGATTTAGTGATTTTTCAAAATTTATCGGAATTTAAATATTTTTAGGTTAAAATGTTCATATAATTAATTTAGGATAGTCTACATAATTTTTTTTTTTTAAAAGTTAATTTAAAAAAAATTAGCCTTAATTCATTCTTTGATAATCTCAGGCTAAAATTTTAGGCCAAAAGGGTTGGAGCAGAAAAGTTGTCTCTGGGCTAAATATTTTTAGGTTTTAGGTCACCATTGGAGATGGTCTTATGAGGTAAATTTAGCCTAGAATTCCCCTTGGGTTAGTGGGGCTAACCCACCATATATGTGCATTCTTTTTAGTTTTATATTTATAAATTCATTGAATCCAAAAGTTAAGATCTGATATGATCAAATCCAGCAATAAAAAAAAGCTCTAACGGCCCAAATTTAAATCCAAAAGCTAAAATAATTAAAAAAAAATTATTTTGTGTGTTTCATATTCTTTTATAGTTTTCCACGAGTTTCATAGTGACGCTTTAGTAATTTTTCAATATTTATCGGAATCTAAAAATTTTTAGGTTAAAATGTTCATAAAAATGAAATTAGGATAGTCTACATAATATTTTTCTTTTAAAGTTACTTTAAGAAAAAATTATCCTAAATTCATTTTTTAATAATCTCGGGCTAAAAATTTAACCCATAAGGATTAGAGGAGAAAAACTGTTTATGGGTTAAAAATTTTAGGTTTTAACCAAGGATTGGAGATGGTCTTAGACTTTGGAAATGAATTGTTATTTCTAATCTGATTTAATGTTTACTATACTTTCTCATGTTATAGCAAAATAAGTAATAGTTAAATGAAACTAAACAACACAATGTGTGGCCACTTAGTATTGCGGTATAGTGGTATTAATATTTATTTGTAAGTAAGTTTGATTATTGTCAAAAGCGAATTTGAACCGAATTATTCTGACTACCCCATTGTGAGGCTTAATCCACTATGTCATCGCTCAGTGTAAATTTATCATAAATCTTGTATCCACGCAAAGTGCATACTCATTGGGGGAATCCAAATCATAAGGAGGAAATAGGAGGTGTTTTAACAGCCTTGAATGATGAATCCTAATGTTTCTAGTGGGATATGTTCTTCGCATTCCAAAAGTAAACTTCTTACCCTCATGAGTGAATATGGAGTGTGAAAGCAAATTTTGGAGTGCATAAATTACTTCCCAGTTCATATCTTCCAAGGAAAATAAAGATGGGCCTTGAATTTGCATACATGTGATGCAATAAAGATGGAAAGAAAGCGTCTGTTTACGCAAAATAATATATTATTGGGCCTTGGTTTGGCCTAATATGATAATTTTAAGGAAATAGAACTTAGGCAGCTATGCCTTTAATTTATTATAAATAAACAGTGCACGCCCACGATTATTTTTGACTTGTCAAAGATACCAAAATCTCAGTCTTTCATCTTGATTGCAAAGAGCACTAAATGCAAAGCACTTTGGTGTTTTGGAGAGAAGGTGATCATGGATTTAGGTAAAATCACCGTCTTAGTTACACTAATCTACATTTATAACTCCATATATTTTGGATTACTTTCTTATTGGTGCATTACTTTTTGGAAAGTAATACTAGGTCGTCTTCAAATGAAAACATAGGAAGCAATGAAGGAAGAAGTGAAAGATCTATAAATACAAGTGAATAACTCAAAGTACAGGACACTCAGATCATTCAACAAAATAGAATACAAGATTTCAAACCAAAAGCTCCTGCCTTTTACTCGTTTCATTCATTTTGCCTTATCAAAAGACTACTTGAAACCAAGACCTTAGAACTTTAGAAAACCTTCCTTTAGACCCTAAAACTGATTAGAATTTGCTCAGCTACCATCTCTTTTGTGTAGTATCGATTTACCAACCTTAAGGCAATTAGTCTCTTTGGTTGTAACCTTTACAAGGAAGCATCTTTAATCCAATCCGATAAGAGCTTTATTGATCATTCTCAATTCATATATATGTGTGTGTGTGTGTGTGTGTGTGTGTGTATGTATGTACTTTGTTTTGTGATATTCAGCAATATTAATATCAATTTTAGTTACATACTGTTTTTATCACTTCTTGTATTTACTTTATGTTGTGAATGACTAAAGTGGTACGCTAGAATATAATCAATGTATATTTAACCACATCTCAGTAGTTTCTAGTCCAACATAAAAAAACAATTAAAATCCCTAGCAAACAAGGCATTAAAGAGAATCAAACTTGAGCAAAAAATTGGCACAATCCCTTATAAAAGAAATTTAGTTACTTGTGGCACAAGTATTCAATATACATACAATCTAGGGTTCTTTAGATATAGACCCTTGAAACTCCTATTTTCCAAATAAAAACCCATCTAAATTTAAACATTCAAATAAAACCCAAATTTCAAATAGCCTACCATGTAGACAAATATATGACCAACTATTACAATACAATTACAACTTATGCCATAGAATCCTAATTTGGTCAATAAATGTTATTACTCATCCTAATTATGATGAGCAATTAAATCCATATGGATATTTTACCTTTCTTGTATCATAAATTTTAGCAACATATATAAATTAATTTCCCAAATTTAAAAGAGAAAGACAATCTTGTACGGAAAAAATAATATTGTTTGAATTATGTAATTATCTACATACAAATTAATTTACCTACTTATAAAATATTATACTAATAAACCTGCATTTTGAATCATGTAATTACCTACTTATTAATATTATACTAATTTACCAACGTTTAAATTAATTTACCTACTTATAAAATATTATACTAATTTACCTACTTATTAATATTATACTAATTTACCTACATTTAAATTAATTTACCTATTCCAAAAAAAAAAAAAATTAGTGATATTAGATAATGTTCGAATGTTGTGGGTTTGTGCTTGTAGGCAATTAAATAAACTTTTAATCTAATGCACATAAATCATGTAGGTAAATTAGACCATTTTGAAGGTAAACTAGACCCTTTAAATTTTGGTTTGATGTAATAGGTAAATTAGACTATTTTGTAGGTAAGAATTGTGCGGAACATATAGCTTTTGTTTTATGTATTAGGGATTGGAATATTAGCCGAAGCTGTTTTAGGTTTATTGTTGTGTTGGTAGGTAAATTAACTTATATATGTAATGCACAAAATTATGAAATTAGTATTATTATTTTTCAATTGGCACGTTATAACAATTTGAAAGTTAATACATTGAATATAAAATGAATGGCATGAATTATTTTGTAAAATATATAAAATTAATTAAATGGATATAACAAGTAACTGATCCAAAAACCCCATCCAAGTATTAATAGGGGTAGTTTAGGCATTCAAAAAATACACAATTTGAAAAGTCAAACTTAATTAAAGAATTTGTTTAATTGAAGGCTAGTCAATGGGCTTTATTCAAGAAAACAAAAGGAGATGGGTTTTAGTAGAGGAAAATATAGTTTCAAGGGGTAATATCAAATTTTCAGTACAATCTATTCTAAACAAGGTTCTAAAAAGCTAAAATCTAAAATACATGCTTATTGTTAGAAAAGTAACCCTCCACAACATATTGTTTTTGCTATAGAAATAATGCTGGTTCATGTAACAAACAACATCAAAACATGTTTATTGTTTGAAAAGTAGAATTAAGATACAACCTAAAAATAAAACATAAATGTAATAAAACAACCCTTTATTTAATTGAGGTTTATGAAATCCAACGTCTCCAATTTGGAAATGGACTAATTAGTTCTGAAGCTAAAAGCTAAAAACAACATTTAGTTTTCTTGAAAGAAAAGGCAAATAATAACTCTACAAGGCAACAGCCCCCAACCCTACCCTATTGTGATTAAGGATAATAAAACATAATGTTGACAGGGTAATAGTACAGAGAGCCTGGTGAAACCAACATGGGCATCCAACGAGGTTGCTTACAACACAAGCACACTGCACTGCCGCCTCTCGATCTTTCTTCGCTTCTTATCATCCTCAGATGGCTGCACCGAAAACAAACAAAAACAAAAAGAATATGTTTACAGAAACGTATAGGCATGATTCTGAACTATCATAGAATGAGAAACTGAGCGTTTAGGCATTACCTGTTCAGCACTG